ATTCTTTCCCCACGCAAGAAATCACTTATACAAATGAGTGTTTATGGTAAATTAATTATTTAATTCTCTACAATTGTTTCACTTTCTTACCATATACCCATTATATTTTGGATTTTGTATATGTTGACGTCTAGATAATTTAAAAATATGCAAGTTCAATTATATATTAAAGACATCGATAAAACAAACTACGCATAGCGTGGGTACAACACCTAGTTTTTTCAAAAGAGGACGAAACGGCTATTAAAAACGTCTATTAGAAAAGACCTTAAAACTTCTACTGTTACTTGCATACAAGATTCGTTCATTAGTCATGATCAGCCAGACTCCTCGACTTGACTCACAACGGGTAAATCTGGGTTACCACCACAGAGCTACGAACTACATGTCTTCCACCATCAGACCACGTAACCGACCCGAACGCCGCACCGGACTCACCCAGCACCAGATTCTTCGTATCCACAGTCACCGTTACAGCATAACTTCGTTTCTTAACAGCGGACGTGAACACCAACCTCGACGGCTTCACAGTCACTGTCACTCCCCTTGGCGACTCTATCCTCGCCCTATAAACCGCTTCCGACTGTCCAACGTTCGTCACTGTTCTGAAAAGAGTCTTGCTCAACGAACCTCTGTTTGAGGTTGGGAACAATGCCGTGATCGACGGGTAATTTAGATTCTCCGGCAACGGTTTCCTCCTCGGACATCTCACCGGCGTTCTTGTTATTATCTGAATGGTTTTTGTCTCGTAACTGATCGAGCAAAGAAACGCGATGTAGTCATCGTTGGTTATATCGTACACTAGACCTGGATCAATTGCCCGACCAAGATTGAGATGACCCGAACCAAAGTCATAAGGCGTCGAGTGTTTTCCAGTGGATTCGTCAATTAACGAGCGATTAGAGTTATCAACGAGGCTAGCCGTTGTCATCATTGCGGATCTTACCGCGGCCGGACTCCAATCAGGATGAGCAGATTTGAGCAGAGCCGCCGCTCCACTGACGTGAGGACAAGCCATGGAAGTACCAGAAAGAATGTTAAACTCTGTTTTCCGGCTATCAGAAACCAATCCCGTAGGCCCCACGGCATCTGTCCAAGCCGCTAAGATGTTTACTCCCGGAGCAATCAGGTCAGGTTTTAAAATCTCCGGGTTTAACCCGTTTGGTCCTCTGCCTGAGAAAGAAGCCACGACCGGAGCTGGTTTAACTCCAATCACGGTACCTCTGAAATCTATTGTAGCTATAGGATTGGGATGAGTCGAAGCGTACGCTTTGATTCTGTCTCCTGCGCTTGATCCTACGTTGCAAGCAGGGATAAGGTGAGCGTCTCCGACTAAGCCTTCGCCGTTCGAGACAGAGTTAGCGAGTATCATCCCAACACCTCCTGCCTTCTTCACCACCATCCCTTTAGCCGCTCGAGGATTGCTTCCACGGTCGCAAATCACAATTTTACCTCTCACAAGCTTTAGATCAAGTGAATTCTCCATACATAAAGAAGCAGCTAACATTCCGGTCTTACCCGGATAAACCACCGGAAACATCCGGCCATTTAAAGGCACGCCAGAGTAAAGAGAAACACCTGGCAGACGGTGTCCGTCCCCGAGAATAACGTCGGCAGGGAAATCCCGATCAATTGTTCCAGCTCCGACAGTTGTTACCCACGGTGCTAGATTTGTAACGGACATACCATTTGGTCCTTCGTTCCCGGCGGAGGAGGAAACAAAGACACCCATCGAGGCTGCACCGTACGAGCCTATTGCGATAGGGTCAAGGTAATACGGCGACGCGATTCCATCTCCTCCTCCAATAGAGATAGAGATAATGTCGACTCCATCGGAGACAGCAGCGTCAAAAGCAGCGAGGATGTCGGAATCAAGACAACCGGATTCTTTCCAACAAACTTTGTAGACAGCAATACGAGCTTTAGGGGCTACACCTTTGGCAACACCAGAGGCGTAGCCAGCCATACTAGCCCTAAAGGCCTGACGTCCCGCGGCGGTTGAGGCCGTATGAGTTCCATGTCCATCCGCGTCACGCGGTGAGAGAAACTCAACCGTTTTGTTTATTCCACCGATCATGGCTGCTTGTTGTCCCTTAGCGAAGAATCTAGCACCGACGATTTTCCTATTACAGTTTCTTGTTTCAAATCTTGCACCGGTCTGACAAACACCTCTCCACCGTTTTGGAATCGGTCCAAGATTTAGATCAGAGAAGCTCCGCCGTTCCGGCCAGATTCCGGTGTCCAAAACGCCGATTATAACATCTGATCCGTAATCGGAGTTGGACCAGAGTCCTTTCTGGTTCCGGAGACCTAGGAATTGGGGAGAACGAGTAGTGTGGAGTTCACGGCGGCGATCCTCGAAAACAGCGAGAACCGCAGGGTGGTTACGGAGGATCTCAGCATCGTCAGGAGTAACCGTAGCTGAGAAGCCATGAAAGACTGTATCGTACAAATGGAGGATTCGAGGACCTTCAGTGAACTCGGAACTGTACCAGTGGTAGTGCGTTGAGAAAACCGACGGTTTCAAGCCACTGTCGATGCGGAAAATGAAAGTCTTCTTCTCCGTTAAGAAGGAAGTGATCGGAGAAGAGAGAAAGAAGAAGAAAAGGAGAAGAAGAACAATAGAGGAAGCCATTGTGTGAGTGAAGAGAGTGGAGTGTAGGTTTGAAAAATATAAAGGAAAAACAAATGTTACTTTTGTGACTGATTAATTGATATTTTAATAAAATTAATTATCTTTGGATCTTCACGTCGCTTGAATGATTTTTTTGTTCGGTGAAGTGAAATAATAGTGTGAGACTAGAAAAACTCATGCACAAACAATTTTTTGAGGCCATCGTGTAATTTTTACATACATAATTTGTAGAGAAATAAAGTAAATTCAACTTTTGAAAAAGCTTGATATGTCTGATAATTATTGGCTCCATTTAAATAGCCTTAATTACGGCGATTGATCATTAATGAGAGAGGTGGTTGTGGATATAATTTTGTCGTGGCAAAGAACACACAGACCCGATGACTCGGCTTTTCTTCCCCGTACGAGACCCACTTTTTTATTTTGGGTAGGGTAGAGTAGAGAATCACTAAAGCCTAAAACGCTGTCGTTTCGTTCATTGTGAGGAAATTGTAACCCGATTAACCAAATTTTTGTTTCTTTCGTTTTTGGTGGAAGTTGGTCTGAGTTTTGGGTTTGAAAATAGCAATGTGCGGAAGATACTCTAACTGCACGAGAGGGTTCTACTTGACTCGATCAAGCAAGGGCATGATGCACGCGTGGGCTAACTAAAAAGTGTAATTGGAAGTGTAGTTGGTTAGGCTGTTTTATAAACACTTACAAAGAGTGGTTTAGCTTTAAGTTACTAAAGCTTATTTTGTGTCGTTTGGGTGGCGACAAAGTTCGATCTTGTAAGAGTAATTTTTCTTTGAATTCTAGTTAAGTCTTGCAAAAGTGTTTTTCATCGAAAGCGAAATCTCTTACAAAATTAAATATAGCACGGAAAAATCTAGCAATATTTCTTTCTTTCTTTTTACAGACGATAGTCTTGTCTTCTACAAGGCATACAAGAGAGAGTATAAATGATTCTATATAGAGGTACTAAAGAGGCTTTGAACCAAGAGATTAATTTTGAGAAGTCTTCGACCGTGTTTGAACATGATGTACCAAGACAATCAAAAGATCAACTTAAAAATATTTTA